CGCCGGAATCTGTTCGTTCCGTATTGTTAACGAGTAATAATTAAATTAATAATTGTCGTGCGCGAATCGCCGTTTTTCCTTTTATATTATTGTAAGGCGCGAATCGCCGTTTTTCTTTTTATAATATAAACTTGTATTGTGCTAGGGCGCGAATCGCCACCAATATACATATTATTATCGTGTCAAGGCGCAAATCATCGTGTTTTTTATATTATATATTGCTGTAGGCGCGAATCGCCGATGTTATAATATTTTGTTTAATTGCAAGGCGCGAGTCGCCGCGAAGTTGTATACTATTGTATCGTGGTTGCGAATCGCCACTAAATTTATAATATTATTGCCAGGCGCATATCGCCAGTTTTTCTATATTATTATTATTATTATTGTGAGCCATAAAGGCGATCTTTAGAGAATTGTGTATTATTATTTTTTACGTGTACCTATTACTAGGTCAATACTATAGGATAGGTAGCAGCTGGCCAGCCGAGCACCGTCATATCCGTGAGTTTTTACCTTATTATTATTATATTTTTGTATTTACAATTATTTGGATTTGTTCTGATTGGTTATAAGGACCAATCATACGTATATTATTATTACCTATATTTTTATATCATTATTGTGTTGCTGTGATTTTTTATATATTTGTATTATTATTATTGAGATTGTGTATTATACAGCAACATATCATTTACCATAAACGTGTTACCATTTTATTATAAATTATAAGCACACACATACACACATACACACTCACCACCCACTACCTAGCGCTCAGAGATTTGCTCGGCGATCCCGTCCACCTCTCTTGAGTCGCTATACATATTATACACACAAATTTAAGGTTGGTCGGTGTGTGAGTATTGCGCGCGACGTACACGGCGATCGGGCCACGGGCTATTGTTCCCTACCCGGCGCTCACAGGATGGTCCAACAATGCTCCTATCAATGGAATGGAGAATTATAGAGGATATTAAACCACTGCTAACACCATTTAATTTAATAACAACAGAACTTTCAGGAGAAAAATACCCAACACTTGCCATGGTTATCCCTTTAGTGAGAGGTATTACAATTTATTATAAATTTAATTTTTTATACTATGTCTAATTATTAACAAACTATTTTGTAGGTGTGAATATTGCTCTTAATTCTAAAATAATGGAGACAGAATTAGGAGTAGCATTAAAAACTAAATTGATAAAAAATATGTCGGATCGTTTTAATCTGATTGAAGATAATGATTTTTCACCTTGTTTTGCAATGTCAACAGTTCTTGACCCAAGGTTTAAGAAAGTAGTTTATACAAATATAGAGTTGGCCAATAAAGCTATACTGAGTATAAATAATGAATTAGCTGTATCTGTATCAATTGGTAATGATTATTTGAGAACCCACTGGTTACTGCCTACAACCTATTATTTTCATATATATGCTAACCTTAATATTATTTTCTAAGGTGAAAACAGGGAGCATTCAGCACCCATAGTTAATGAACCCCAAGAAAATCAATGCAAATTGCAAAATATTGTAAAAACTCTTTTCCTTTTCAAATCATATCTAGTTAAATAAAAACAAAAATAGGTATTTTTATGATTTAAATAATTATAGTCTGGAACGACTGTAACACTTGTAATCTTTTTAAATTTGTTGACCTAAAGGGGGATCTTCAAATTTGTACACTTTAACCATTGTTGAATGTTGATGTATCATAAGCTAGAGCAACTAACTAAAAAAAAAATTAAATATGCATTTAAAAACATACACTTTTGCATAAAAAAACATGTACTTTAAACCCAAAAATGTCAAAATATGTACTAAAAATTTTGAGCCTTTAGTCACAAACATTGTGAAATGTGTTGTGTACTTACTCAACATACGAAAAAGTTAACTAGAAACATGTGTGAATGCATGAAAGTCTTTGCTCTAATCAAAACATTATTAAATTACTTACTTTATTTATGGTTAATGGTAACATGTTACTTTAAAATTAAATAATATATTTAACTTATTATTATTTAACTAGTTTAGAGAATAATAAACGATAATTTTAATTTTTAATAATAATACTCATTATAGAAAAAAGTATGTTTGTCATCATAGTAGTTTCCAAAAGTTTTCTAAAGAAGACAATAAGAAAGAAAACTCAAAAAATGCTATGCGCCCAGCATATATATTGTGTAGTATAAAACTTAGTACACCATGGACAAAAAAAACAGATGTTTATGTTAAGGTAAGACCTCAAGATTATTAAAAATAAATATAATTATTTAGGATTGTTAAAGTAAAATAAATTATTGTTATTTTTGTATTAACAATCTGCACATATCTTTGTGGCAGGGTGGACAAGTAATAGGTACTTTTTGAATTTAAGAAGTATTGAAAACTTTCTTACGAATCAATCATTTAATATTCTATATATAATGTAGGACCAACATTGTAGGTATTAAATAGGTAAAAGGTATTATAGGGAATAGATGTATTATTGTTTCTGAGTAATAAATAAATAAATAGTTAATAATAATAATAATGATTATAAATATTTGCTTATATAAAAGAAAAAAGTATATTCGGAGATAATAATCTTTAGTATGAACCTATATATTTATATGATTAGGAAGGTTTATTGGCTTCTATTAAAATACATTCAAATCATGGACACACACTACAGACTGCCGAGACATTAATATTTTTACCAGCTGACAATAATCTGAAGAGTACATTTATTGAATATTTTAATAATGGTTTGGGAATTATTGAATCATCTAAGTACCATGAAAATGTATTGTACTTGAAACATGGTTTTAAGCAACAGAATTATGCCAATGGTTCACTGAATCCAACATATAACGAAAATATCCGGCGATGCAAAAAATTTTTTTCCTGGATGTCAGAATTGATGCCGGGACCTTTAGGATCGTACTTGGTTCTTTTACCACTAAGCCACGAAATCTAATAGAAGGGGCATCGAATATATTGGCTATTTAAACAAAATATTACAAAATACGTGATTTTCAAAGTGCTATAACTTAAAAACTAATGATTAGCCCCAATTTATTTTTGCACCATCGTTTTTAGATTGTCAAAATACATAAGATGCAAACAAAAAATATACAACATTTAGGGTGTCCGGTAAAGTATAAATATAACAACTTTTGATATACGTAAATTATATTAATTAATAAGTTATTAATAATGTATACGTTTATGTTATATGTATAGAATTTTATTTCATTAGGAATTACAAAATGAGTTAACATAAATATATATATTATAATAAAGTATTTATTGCACAAAAAGAAATTAAATTAAATCTGAAAATTATTATAATTACAGTAGTCACTCGATAATTCGAAATTCGGAGGATCGAGTTAAAAATTCGAATTATAGAGGTTTCCGATTTACCGAGTGTTCGAATAATCGAGAGAAAAATTAATTCGAATTAAAGAGGTGAAAAATTATTTATTTTATTATTTATTACACATTTAAATTATTATATTTTCTTCAAGTACCACAGCCCACAGGTTGAGAACCGCTGCAGTAGAGGAAACTGATTTAAAATTGAATTTTTTTTATCTAGTATATTTTTAAAATATTTTGTTTATTTGTAATCTATTTATAGGTATTTTGAATATTCGATATTTTTGGTCAATCAATATGTACTTGAAAGATTACAACATGAATTCACCTAAGTTGTTCTTACCATCATTAAAATATAATATATAAAATACATATTCACACATTTTTTTATAGACATTTGAAGTATACATATTTATTTAAATTATTAAAAATGTGATTTTCACAGAATAGAATTATTTTGATTTAATTATTGAACGGGTAGAGCACCAAATATTATTATTTTAATTTATTTTTCTATAAACGTTCAAACATCTAATGAAAGTATTTATATTTAAAAAAAAAATAATATATAAATGATAAATATATACTTATTTTATTTGTTTGTATCGTCTTAGTGCGGGGGAACTAGACTTTTTTTGGATGACCGTTTTCGTTTTATTTTATTCTCTTTGTTTGCCATTATCAAAAAAAATTAAAATACACTGCAGGAAATTTGAAAACCACGACACAGAAATCTCGAAGAAATTAGCTGATCACAAGTCACAACGAATACTCCAGAAAGAATGGTCGGTTGTGTGATGTGTTTCCTTACTCATAAGTCACAAAAACTCAAAAATGACTTGAATATTTATTTTTGAACAAATTATTAGAAATACAGCTATTATGGTCTCATATTTTGACTTTCGCTATGAAATTCGTAATGACTAAAAGGTAGACCGTGTTGATTTATAATTTTTGTTTATTATGTTTAGTAATTATTGGTGTAATAGCCTTAAGGTCGATTCACACTATACCGAACGTCAACGTCACGTCACAGACTGGCAACGTCACGTCAAATACATCAGCCATTCACACCCAAACGTTAAAAACGCATAAACGCCACGGGAATATTACCGAAGCGACGTGATAAACTTGCTCACTGCTCTATGTTTTTACTTGTATAACTAGTTATTTTTAATGAAAATTTAATTTATTATATTATTACTTCATTATGCCAAAATTTAGCAAGAAAAAATTGGCATTAATTGCAATCATTTTAGACGAGGAAGAAGAGAACAGAAACCGACGTAAAAGGATATGGATACGAGAAATGTTAAGAAAAAGAAAACAATTTGGGGAGTATCACACACTGTTTAATGATTTGAGTGAAGAAGAAACATCATTCTACAAATACTTCAGAATGTCTCAAGATAAATTTTATATTCTGTTATCTAAAATTGAGCGTCAAATTACGAAACAAAATACACCATTTCGAGAATCTATAAGTGCTAAGGAAAAGTTAATGGTTTGTTTAAGGTAAATATTATAATAAATATACTTATAAAGTACACTATACTTGTTTATTTATTATTTATTACTTAATGAGCATATTTAATTTTGTTAAATTCTTGTTGCTTACAACATTAAAAAAAAACATTTTTAATCTTTTTTTTTTAATTACTCGCTGAAAGTTTTCATAATATTTTTGAGCAGATTGTGGTGGTGATTTGGCTACTTCAGAAATAGGAGATAGAGTTGATGTCTGAACGTATAGTGATGATGAGTTGTATAGTTGTGTCCTCATTCTATTGTCATATGGTAGACTATTTTGGTTTCCCTGCAATGACGTCGATGTTAAAAAACCTGTTGATTGTTGCCTTTGGTTATTTATTATTCCATGTTGAGTAGACTGAGGTGGTGATGTAGCTAGTTCTGAAATAGGAGATGGAGTTGGTGTCTGAACGTATAATGATGATGAGTTGTTTAGTGGTGTCCTCAGTCTATTGCCGTAATATGAAAGACTATTTTGTGATCCGGTCACTGACGTTCTGGATGAATTAGAACCCAAGTATGATGTTAAATAATTTGTTGATGGTGTCATTTGATTATTTTGTAATTGTTCCCACTCTAAATCAGATACTATACTAAAAAGTTTGCTTTTTGCCATGAATTGATATTCTGGTGAGAATGTTTTGACTGTAGCAGCCAGACCATGGAAAAATGAGTCTATTGGATGTGCATGAGTGGTTTCCTTTGACTCATTATTTTCGCTATCTAATAAATATTGCATCAAAACAGATGATGCAGTTTCTGTTTTGTTCTTCTTTTTTGGAAATACTTTTGTTTGTTTCATGCTGCGTTTTTGAGTAATTTCATGTCCAATTTCAATTTCCGATTCCTCATTATTCACCTGGGAAATGTCTTCGTCGTTTGACTCTTCACTTACACCAACACCATCAGAAGGTGCAATGTTGGAATGTGTTTCACGTTCTTTAAAAAATTCATAGAATCCTCATACTTCCATTTTTTTTGTACGACAGCTGCTTGTCCACTTTTTGTTTTTTTATTTTTTAATGCCTTTCTGAGTTGATCTCTAAGTGATACCCATCGACTTTTACATACTGGACCTGTAAATAAAATGGCATTTTACATTGCTGTACTTATAAAAAAAAAATAGAATTTATCTAATTAAGAACCCAGCAAATTTTGATTTAGATAATTATTGTATATATTTAATTACAGAACTAAAAACATACAGTTAATTTATTCTTAAATATTTAATTTTTGTATAAAAATGTAATTTAATTTTCATTCGAAAATATTTGTTTATTATAGATTTTTAGCAACTGGTGACTCATTTCAGACCATCGCGTTCAGTTTTCGTTTGGGACATTCTACCGTTCATAATATAGTTAAAGATGTTTGTGAGTCTATAATAGATAAGTTATTATTAGAAGTGATGCCACCACCAAGTGTACAAGACTGGGAAAAAATTGGAGACGACTTTTGGAATAAATGGAATTTTCCTAATTGTTTGGGGGCACTAGACGGCAAACATGTGGAAATTTTTGAGCCACCAAATAGTGGTTCACAATTTGTTTATTATAAACGTACATTTTCAATTGTTTTGTTGGCATTGGTAGACGCAAATTGTAAATTTATTGCCGTAGATGTAGGTTCTTACGGGAAGAACAGCGACGGCGGAATTTTTGCAAATTCAAATTTTGGAAAAGCTCTAGAAATGGGAAAGTTTAATGTACCAAAAGAAAAAAACCTTCCAGGAACTCAATGTTCAGTGCCTCGTGTAATTGTTGGAGATGAGGCGTTTCCGTTGAAGACATATCTTCTTAGACCTTTCCCTGGTTCTACGATAAATGGAGATATAGAAAACAAATATTCAATTACAGACTGTCAAGAGCTCGCCGAGTATCAGAAAATGCATTTGGACATTTGGTACAAAAATTTCGAATTTATTTCAGAAGTATAAATTTATTGCCCGAAAATGTAGATAATGTTATTTTAACGACGTGTATTTTACATAATTACATAAAAGAAAACGATTTGATGGTTCAACATTTAGACCCTGTCGAAATTGAACCTAACTGGGGAAATTTACCACGGCAAGGAGGAAATGCCCACAACTCAGCCTTTCTTGTACGTGATACATACAAACAATTTTTTGATTCGGAGAATGGATCATTGTCGTGGCAAATGGAAAAATTTGTGTAAATAATAATATAATGATATAAATAATGTAAATAATAATATAATATATAAAAATATTTATACATTTATATACATTTTCATTTAAAGTACCTTTTTATTTTATAAATTGTAATTTATAATATGTTTTGATTTCTGACTTATTAATACTTAATGATATGACAATAAATAAAATTGATATTCAAATTAAGATGTACATATACCTGATATTTTTAATTTCTCTCCGATTTTTGTCCATATTAAATCTTTGTGCTGATTATCGCTGTATTTTTTGTGCGCCATGTTGTACATTTCTTCATATTGGCGAACTTCTTCAATTAAAAGTTCATCATCCATATCAAGTAGATATTATGAATTAAAATATAATATATAATATAAAATATTATAATAATATATTATAATAGGTATTGTATGTGACGTGCTCAAACAACGCTAAATAAATAAATATTTGACGTGGACGGAACGTTCATGCATTCACACTATTCTAACGGACAAGAACGAACAGGCACCGGAACGTCAAACTTAAGTTTTCGATAAACGTTGACGTTCCGTGCCTTTGACGGTACGTGACGGTGCCGGTCAATGTAAACACTGTCGTATTTATAGATGACAACATATTTTGACGTGACGTTGCCGGTCTGTGACGTGACGTTGACGTTCCGTATAGTGTGAATCGACCTTTACCTACAAATATATAATAATAATACTGATAAGAGTTGGTAGGTCGTAATTGAAATGCTGCTAATCATCATTTGTCAATGCCCAATGCCGTTTATTATAATTACATTACAGCGGGGTTATTATCTTTTAATAATAATATTTCTTAGCTAATATAAGCATTGTCTAAATTATAAATTAGTTCAGTCTATTCTTGGAAGCGTCCGATCACCAACAACCGACCGTCCCCGCGTGAGGGAAATTGCGGCCGACATCGCAACGACAGGCAGGTGGCAGCACATTACAGCCATCAGATATCTAAATCGAACTATGTAAACATGTTTACGGAAAACAAACAAAACAGCCTTAAAAAGTGATTTTAGAGCAAAAATACCTATGATGAGATTTATAGAAAACAATATTTCAGAGACAAACCCGGGTTTTGTATTATTTTAAATATACAGCTCGTTATAAAAGGATCAAAAATCAATTTTTTTACATTTTTTAAGCATCAGTAACTTTTTTAATACACACATAGAAATGTAGCAGTTGATTTAACTTTTGATATTTGGTTTTACATGTGTATATTTAACTTCAGTGGCGTATATATTTATCTCAACTCCTTTGGCATGTTGTTTTAATGAAATTAATGTCAAACCAAAACGTAATTTAAATTGATTATTTATCATATTTGATTTTAACATTTATTGAGGTTTATCTGACACGATCCAATGTTACATCAACTATTTATATGATTGGATTACATTAAGCATAGGTTTTAATTTCAATATATAAGATAAGTTTGTATTGATAACCGATTGAGATGGTAAATCCAAGATAATTGTATTCAATAACAAACTATTGTAATATTGAAATAACAATAATATAAGGTTTAAGATAAGGCTTTTATTATTTCGGTTAACATTTATTTATAAGTATTGAAAACACATTCATTGCGATTAAAATAAATATAGTGGAGTGTTGATTTAACTTCATAGAAAATTAACTCAACACACGAGCGTATTAAGGCGAATACCTACAAGTTTAGTACGAACACTAAAAACAACGAAATTGAATTTTACCAACACGTGTTTTCCGACGACCGACATTAACGATTAACAATACCCGTCTGTGACCTGTGTGGCTGTGTAGCGTGTAATTTTTCGTTAAAATTTTTTCATTAAGTTTTTTATAAAGTATTACTTTATGCACCTATGGCCAATTTACCGGATATGAACAACTTCAACGAGGAAAGTCAATTTTCTCAAGTAAGTACTTTAGTAGATACCTATATACTCGAATAAATTAGTTGTTATCATGTATGTAGGTACATCGTGTTAATTTAAAATGAAAAATTGTTACCGTATTTTTAACTATGTGGGAAACTGCCTTGTTTATTTTATATTTAGTAATTAATGTATAATTTTATTTAATATATCCTAGGAAGTAGTTAGGTACAAATGTAAGGTACCTATTAATTTTACTTACCTACCTACACACAGATTTCCATAGGATTTAGCATCAATAAAATTATAGTATTAGTTACTAGGTATATACTATCTATATTCTATATCAATCTATGTAAATAGAATCTATATGCTTACATTTTTAAATTATGTCCCAATTGTTTTACAATTAATTTCATTATAGGAGCTGTTTAACAACTTTATTATTCCTGAACCTAATGGTACTCTAATTGATATCTCTCAGTGTGTTCCTATACAAAGTCTTCAATATTCGGTGCCAAATAATGTAGTTAAAGAAAATGAAACTATAGTAAGTCCTAACAACAGATTTTCTCCGTATACTAGTCCCTCTTCATCTAGAAGTTCTTCCATAAGTTCTATCCAAAGTCATGTGAAATTTGGTACTTATAACCCAATGGATTGGACATCTCAGGTATACTTAAGAATACATGTCTGTAGAATTAAAATCAACATAGAATAATTATTTATAGACAATAATGGACTTATTACAAAGTACAAACGATGGCAGATTTATATTAGCTGATGCAAAGTTAAATAATGGTAGTCTCTCCGATGAAGGACAGAATGCATTGACTAAGTTATTAATAAACTTTATGTTTCAAGATAAGAGCAAGTATGTTTAATGTGTATATTAATTGTTTTAATGTGGATTAGTGTACCTACCTAATTGGGTTATATTTTACTTCTACCTAATTATTACTAGGTAGTTTATTTATTATTTAATTTTTTGAAGGAGAATTACTCTAAGTCCTATATTTTCATTATTCTCATAAATATTTAATAAATTTGGAATTGATAACATTTTATTTGGATGTTAAATATTAGCTTTGAATTGTTATTAAATGTACCAACACTAGTACACTACATAAATTAATTTTGTGTATACTTATAATTTTCAGGGGGACTGATTTATTTTTCCGAAAAATATCAAGTTTAATACCTGAAATATTTCCTAACGAAGAACAGGTTGGTATAGATTAATATTTTTAAAATTAAATTGTATCCTAATTTACTATTTTCATTTATTTATTAAATTAACACAGCCATAAGGCTACCTAGAACTTAAATTGTAGAATTTTAATGAGTAGATTAATGACACTCATAATACATAAAGAATCATACCTATGTAAATAAAAAACTACTAGTTTAATTAAGTCGAGTAATATGTTTTTTTGATTTTACAATTTTAATTATTTTTTATTAATGCAAATCCAATATTGTTGATAAGATTATACATGGATTATACCATTATAACATTTATAACCAATTATTTTACTATATTGTTAATTGAATCTTATCACTAATTAATTTTATTTTGGTGATATATTATATAGAGAGTTTACTTTTTACCAGCAAGAGCTGAAGGTTCTAACCAAACGCATGCTAAAGGTAAATTGGTTGAGCGGTGGAAAAATGTGGCAAGAAGATTAAGAAGTGTGGGGGCTATCGAGTTAGATAGAAGAAAGTCTAGTCCATTACTTAACATTGAATCTGCTACCGATTTTTCTGGTAGGTACCTCCCTATTTTGCAGGGCTTTGCACCGGAATCTTTTTTTTCGGGTTTCGGGTTTCGGGTGTTGAAAGAAAATTCGGGTTATTGAATTGGGGTGTTACGGGTTAATACACTTTTCGGGTTACGGTTAAATGCAAATTTATTCGGGTTAATTCGGGTTAATTCGGGTGTTAAAAAAAAACACATGTTGTATATCAATTAACATGAGATTTTCAATGCAAATTTGATATAGTAATCTGATTTAATATTTAAAGTAAACATAATTAAAAAAATTAAAAAATTAAATTAAATATTAATACTTATCAGTTATTAGTTTATTACTTAATACTTAGTACTTACTCAGTCCTTTTTCTACAGAAGAAAGTTCTTGCTTATTACATATTTTAATTTTTAACTTAAAAATTTGATAAATATTAACTTCTTATTTCTACAGGTATTTAATTATTACAATATTTATCCAATTGGTAATGTTAAAAAATAAAAATGTACAAACATATTACAACATGAATACAACATATTCATTTTATTGTGTTATTTTAGTGTTATAACTTGTTTAAAATGTATTAAATTATGATGATTACCTATAAATTATTAAATATTAATTGATATTTGATAATATATTAATATTTGAGGTTACCTATTATAGTTTAAAGTTAAAAACTTAAAACTTAAAATTTAAAAAAAAAAATGCAAATGGATAAATTTGTATAATTTTGTCAATAGTTTCTATATTTTTATTACACGAACCTTAATAGTTGTCTGTTCATTAAATTTATTCTTTTTTTCAATTTCTCTTGATTTCACAGACAAATTTTTTTCAAAAATTTCATAATGCAAACTTTCTATATGGCGCTCTAAGTTTTTTGCATGCTGACCTACAAGTGCATGTCCACAAGACTCTATTTGACATTCTGACTTCCCAGTAGAAATATTAAATTTAAAATATTTATGAACAGGAGAAGTTCTTTTTCTTCCCATTCCTATAAAGTATAATGAATATTATTTGGTACCTATGATACATTGATGATAGGCAGAACATAACAAAATATGAAATATACTTACTTAATGAATTTATGTAGAGAAACTGGTAAGGACTAAACTACTAAA